TTCCTCAGCGGTCCATTTGGAATGGATGAAGCAACTAGCCCCTCAACACCCCCCCAACTGTAAAGGTAAAGGTTCCCTTGCTCGAAAGCCAGTTGAATCCGACTCTAGGGTTGTGGTGCTCATCTCCGTTTCAAAGCCGAAGAGCCAGCGCTGTCCGAAGACGTTTCCATGGTCATGTGGCCGGCATGACAAAACACCAAGGCGCACGGAACGCTGTCACCTTCCCACCAAAGTGGTACCTATTTCTCTACTTGCAGTTTCTTGCTTCCGAACTGCTAGGTTAGCAGGAGCTGAAAAAGGAGCTGGGGCCAGAGACGGGAGCTCACTCCGTCATGCGGCGCACTCGGGTCTCAAACTGCTGAACTACTGACCTTTCACAGCCTGCAGTTCAGCGTCTTAACCACTTGAGCCACCGCAGCTCCCCCAACTGTACTCCTTCATAAATATTCAGGGATGTGCTCCATACAGACAGACAAGTCTATCACTTGTCATGTTCACAATTGGGTTGCCAACCTCCAGGCAGGGCCTGGACATCTGGGATTATGCCTGATCTCCAGATGGCGTAGTTCAGTTCCCCTGAAGAAAATGACTACTTTGGAGAGTGGACTCTCAGGCATTATATCTTGCAGAGGGTCCCTGCCCTTCCAAAACTCCACTCTCCCCTGACTCCCCCCCAACTAGGGATGCCAGCCTCCAGGTGGGACCTGGGGACCAGTGTTCCCTCTAAGCTGAGTTAGTGTGAGCCAGCTCACAGTTTTTGAGCCTCCGGCTCACACATTGTTGTCTCAGCTCAGGAAGGATGGCTCCAGAGCAAACTCATTTACGCAGCAGCCAAATGGCTCGCTCAACACGTTAATGCCAGGAGCTCACAAAGTAGAATTTGTGCTCACGAGACTCCACAGCTTAGAGGGAACATTGCTCCAGAGCCAACTCATTTATGCAACAGCCCAATCGCTCGCTCACAGCTTTAATGCCAGGATTCGTTAGCAGGGCAAGTCCTGCAAAAAAAGGATATGGTGACACGGTTCCCCAGGCTCCGTGCGGCGATGGATCCACGGCTGCCTGGCAGTTGCTCCCCATCACCACCACCAGGGGGCAGACTGGTCCTTGCGCCCACTAGGACCTTTCGGGTCTTGGAAGCTAAGCAGGGTCGGCCCCGGTGAGCACTTGGATGGGAGACCACCGAGGGAGTCCGGCGTTTCTATGTGGAGGCAGGCAAGGGCAAACCACCTCTGACATGTCTCTTTGCCTTAAAACAAGTCCAGCTCACCCAGGCCCAAGCCTGTAGCTACCGTGGGGCATTTCGGTGCCCTGCCCCTTAATTAAAAGCCTTGCCCCCCAAATAGCCAGGCCAGAAATCTTATTTTTGCGTGTTTCCCAAAGGCTCATGGGAATGCTTCTGAAAGACACACCATGACCTAGGTGGTCTACAGCAGGACTGGGCTGGCAGAACGGGGGATTGTTGGAGATGTATTGAAGGTGCCCCTCTTGAGTGCCTTTCTAAGTGTTCTTGCCCTGTAGGAGGGAACGCAAAATGCATTTAAATGCTCGAAACAGGCTCAGAGCCTTGCTTTTTTAAAGACAGGCATTCAGATGAATTTAATTAACTAAGTTAAAGTAAAGGTAAAGGTCAAGCTTTCCCTTCCTCGAAAGCCAGTCGAACCTACGAACTGGGTTTCCCCCCCCCTAGGAACTTACGCGCTTGCTTCCCTGTCCCTCGAAACAGGCTCGGAGCCTTGCTTTTTTAAAGACAGGCATTTAGATGAATTTAATTAACTGTAAGTAAAGGTAAAGGTTTCCCTTGCTCGAAAGCCAGTCGAATCCGACTCTAGGGTTGCGGTGCTCATCTCCGTTTCAGAGCCGAAGAGCCAGCGCTGTCCGAAGACGTTTCCGTGGTCACGTGGCCGGCATGACTAAACACCAAGGCGCACGGAACGCCGTTACCTTCCCACCGAAGTGGTACCTATTTATCTACTTGCAATTTCTTGCTTTCTAACTGCTAGGTTGGCAGGAGAACTGTAAGTTAACTGGCCCCTTAAAAACTTAAGTGCCCCCACTACAGGCATTAAAAGTTGTGAGCGAGAGATTTGGCTGCTGCGTAAATGAGTTTGCTCTGGAGCCCTCCTTCCTGAGCAAAGACAAAAATGTGCGAGCCGGAGGCTCAAAAACTGGGAGCTAGCTCGCACTCACTCAGCTTAGAGGGAACACTGCTCACCACCTAAAAACAGGTCTAGCTCACCCAGGCTACCCCGATCTCATTAGGTTTTGAAAACTAAGCAGGGTCGGCCTCGGTTGGTGCTTGGAGGGGAGACCCCCAGAGTTGCTCTGCAGAGGCAAGCAAGGGCAAACCACCTCCGCTCATCCCTCGTCTTGAAAACCCTACAGAGTCACCATAAGTCGGCTGCAAAGTTCCCTCTAAGCTGTGGAGTCCTGTGAGCAAAAATTCTACTTGGTGAGCGACTGGCATGAAAGCTGTGAGCGAGCCATTTGGCCGCTGCATAAATCAGTTTGCTCTGGAGCCATCCCTTCCTGAGCGAAGACAAAAATGTGTGAGCCAGAGGGTATAAAACTGTGAGCTAGCTCACACTCACTCAGCTTAGAGGGAACACTGGTCGGCTGCAACTTGAGGACATTTCCCACCACTACCTGAAAGGGCTTCCTTCTCTCTCCTCGTCTCCCTGGACCCAGGTTGCCACACAGGAATGAAAGAAGTTGACCTGCCACACCGGCAGGGCTCGTGTTGGCCTAAGTCTCAAAGAAAGACTGCAGTACATGTTCTCCCCCTATCCTTTATCCCACCGCCTCAAGCACGCCAGGAAGCCCTTGCCCCACTTTTCAGCTCTGTCAGACAGCCGCATGGTGCTGAGGCGATAATCTACCCTGTCCAGTGAGAGGGCCCGCCCTGGGTCCCGGGGCAGGCTCCAAAAACCCCTTACCCTCACCAAACGCGTTACAAAAATGCTTCTCACCCACACCGCGGAATATAAAACAATGATGTTCTGCCAGGCCTACGGCTGAGGAGAGCAACGGCCTGCATTGCGGCTGCGTGGCCTCCTCTATGACCGGCCCCTGACCCACCCAGGGGAGAGATGAAGAAGAGATTGGATTTATATCCCGCCCTTCACGACCCGAAGGGGTCTCAGAGCGGCTCACGGTCTCCTTTCCCTTCCCTTCCCCACAACAGGCACCCTGTGAGGTAGGTGGGGCTGAGGGAGCCCTCCCGAGGACTGCCCTTGACAGAACAGCTTTGAGAGAACTTGTAACCGCTGTTCCCTCTCAGCTGTGGAGTCCTGTGAGCAGAAATTCTACTCTGTGAGCGACTGGCCTTAAAGCTGCGAGCGAGCAATTTGGCTGCTGCATAAATTAGTTTGCTCTGGGGCCGTCCTTCCGAGGCGAAGAAAAAAAATGTGCGAGCCGGAGGCTCAAAACCTGTGAGCTGGCTCACACTCACTCAGCTTAGAGGGAACACTGCTCGTAACTGACCCAAAGTCACCCCAGCAGCTGCATGTAGAGGACTGGGGACTCAAACCCGGTTCTCCCGGATTAGAGTCCGCACTCCTAACCACTACAAACAAACCACTACAAACAAAAACTTCATTTTAAGCCCTCGATTAATGTTTGGTTTTATGGTAATCGATAGTCAGTAATTTGGAATTCATTTATTTTGGTGAGTTTTAAATTTTTGTTCACCGCCCTGAGCCCTTCGGGGAAGGGCTGTCTATACAAATTTAATAAATAACGTTAGGCCGCTTGTCCAGAGCTGGGGGGTGGGGAGGTAAAGGGTATGAGTGTGGGGAATTCAAGTCGGCCAAGGATGGAGTTGCAACAGCCCTATCTTTAAACACAACTCTTGTGGACCTGTTCCACACTAACCACTATACTTATGCCCGTGGAGGGCTCCTGGCACGGAGGCAAAGTGCCACGGTGAACGGAATGGATTCCCACAATCGGGTTCAGAGGCACCCACTGTCGTCTCTCGGTTTTACAAAAATATTTGTTGGGGCGGGGGAGTCCCTCCAGGCGGGGGAGACGCCTCTGTCGACTCTCCAAGCCTTCATATTTACACACCCTGAGAAATGAAACCAAGGTGGAAGAGAGAGGGGCTGTCCCATTATCCCCAAAAGAAATGTCGGAGACTGACCTCGGTTTCACCCCCAGGGGAGAAAAGAAGTACCGGGAATCTCACTTTCTTATGTCGGTCGAAAAATCGTATGGATTCGCTCGCCGATCGGCACGTTGCCAAGACGCCACAGGGCCCGGCCCGGCTGAAAGGGAGCCGCGTCCTTCCCGAGGCCGAGCAGTGCACAGAACAGGCAGAACACCCTGGCGAGGAGGACTCGAACACGGGCCGGCTGCCCGTCTCACATGAGCAAAGTCGTTCCGGAATTCCTCCTCCAGAATCTCTCCCTCCTCGCCCCCCCCTCCAACAATCAGCATGTGGGGGAAAGACAGGAAAGATAACGGTGCTGGAGCGTTTGGACTTCAAGCCCCAAGCCCCAAACCATCCCATTCAAGACTACTTTTAGTTACACACCACATACACACACACAAAAAGGGGGTTTAGCTTTGGGGCCAGCCCTCAGCGGAAAAAGGACGCCACAAGGGAGAGACGAGGGAGAGACGAGGGGGGGACTCCGTCCCACCTCCTGCCTGCGCAACGCCATGAAAATTCTCCCCCACCAAGAAATCCGGAGGAGCAAACGTCTTCAGGGTGTCCCCTCTCGTTCCACCTCCTTCCTCCCATGAGTGGCCTCCACTCATCCTCGTCCAGGCCTTTCCCGCGTCCTCCGTCGCCTCTCCGTTCTGAGAGAAACCAAAAAGCAATCCAAAAGATACCCTTTTCTAACCCTTCTGTCCCTATAGAAACCCCCCCAAACACGGTATCCCCCGCCTCTTCACATTGCCAGAACAGAGAAGTCCGGGAGGCTGACCCCACAATCGTTATCCTCCATCATCGGCCCCGGAGACCCAGGGGTCTTTTCACAGGACGGGGGAAAGAGCTAAAGAATGTAGAGTTTCCTGGAACACGTCAAATTACTATGGACCAAATCCCACATGCGGAGTAGCTCCGGGGGCAGGAGTTTATGGACCACCAGCATGTTCTGGAAGAAGCACGGCTCCTTGTTCATCTTGCTGTTCTTGTTTTTCACGATGCCGAAGGTCTTGAAGCCCGCGTGGGCCACCGGCGTGACCTTCAAGACCTCCAGGCACATGCCGAGGAAGACGTCGTCGATGGGGTACAGCTCCAGGGTCTCCGAGACCCTGTGGAGCTTCTGGGCCAGGGGGCTGTCCATGACGAAGCCGCCTCCGCCGGCGTAGGGCGGGTAATGCGTCTTGCTGTACAAAGCGTTGGGGATGTAATACTTGTTCTCCTTCTTGCGGATCGGCCTGGCCTTGTGGAGGACGTCGCCCACGAAGAGGTCGCCGGCCTTCTGGTCCCCCAGGTACTCCAAGATGTTGTCCGGGCTGACGAAGACGTCGTCGTCCCCCTTGAAGACGTACCGGACGTTGTCGCAGTAGATGCCGAGCCACTTCAGGAAGTTCACTTCCTTGAGGGTGAGGTTGAAGAAGCTGTCCAGGAAGTCCCACTGCAGGATGTCGCTGTAGATGTGGTTCTCGTATTCCAGAAGCTTCTGGTAGTTGGCCCGTTCCTCTTCCTTGGAGGCGACGCCCAGGAGGAAGAGGGTGCGGACCTTCTTGCCGCCCACCTCCTTCTCGCGCCCCCACGTCTTCCGGATGGCCTCCCGGCGGTCGTGTTGGGTGATGATGGACTTCACCACGATCAGCAGGTAGATGTCCCCGCTGCACTTCTCCGGGTGGTTGATCAGCAGGGGGAAGTAGCGGCAGTGCCGGTAGAGCAGGAACTGCTGGAAGTTGGGCTCCAGGCCTTTGAACCAGTCGTCCTTGCTGGAGTTGAGGTTGGCGGTGCAGTTGGTGGTGGTGACGTCCCAGCTCCTCGCCTGCTTCTCCGTCGCGTCGGCCGTTTTGGTCAACGGGTCTTGTTCCTTCTTCCAGAAGTTGTTGGCCACCGGGAGGACGTTATCTCTCTTCTGAGCGTTCATAGGCTCCGGGGAAAGCTCCTTCTGCTGTTGACTCTGAAGGAACTGGTTCGCGGTCATCCCCCTCTGCAGCACCGTCACCGCGATGACCAACACGAAGGACAGCAGGACGCTCTTGTAGACGGTCTTCTTCCTGCGAAGGAAAGGGACAGCGAATGAGTCAAGGTTCGTCCCCCCCCAAGGCAAAACACTCCACACCGTCAACCTAGTGGGAGTGGATACCGGGGTTTCCCAAATCTCAGCCTATGTTTGGTGGAAGTCAACTATGCATGGGGAGGGACCGTGGCTCAGCGGCAGAGCATCTGCTTGGCGCGCAGAAGGTCCCAGGTTCAAACCCCGGCATCCCCGGTTAAGATCAGGTAGCGGGTGACATGAAAAACCACAACCTGAGATACTGAAAGAGCTGCTGCGAGTCTTGAGTAGGCAATACTGACCTTGATGGACCAACAGTATGATTCAGAAGAAGAAAAGAAGAAGAGATTGGATTTATACCCTGGCCTTCACTACCCAAAGGAGTCTCAGAGCGGCTCACAATCTCCTTTCCCTTCCAAGGAAGAAGAAGGTCGGACCAGAACCAGCGTGTTGAAATTAAATCAGAAGAGTTTTTGGCCAAACATGAGGAAGAACTTCCTGACAGTCAGAGCAGTTCCTCAGGGGAACAGGCTTCCTCAGGAGGTGGTGGGCCCTCCTTCTTCAGAGGTTTTCAAACAGAGGCTAAATGGCCATCTGACAGCAATGCTGATTCGTTGAACTTAGGCAGATCATGAGAGGGAGGGCAGGAAGGGTTCCATCAGTGCTTAGTTCTTGTGGCCCTTTCTTACAGGCCCAGGGAAATGCTGATCTCCATGTTGGAGTCAGGAAGCAATTTATCTCCAGGCCAGTTTGGCTGGAGATCCTGGAGGTTTTTTGTAATTTTCTGGGTGTGAAACAGCAATCACAGGCGATGTGTGTGTGGGGGGAAGTATTTGTGAATTCCCTGCATTGTGCAGGGTGTTGGACTAGATGACCCTGGAGGTCCCTTCCAACTCTGTGATTCTATAATATTGTTTAAAATATTTTCTTGCATACACACAAGCTTACCTTCAGCCATGCAGTGAAGATCCTTGTACTCTGATGGCAGCTACTGCTGAAAGCAGTGTTTATAAAAATCGATTCAGCCGTGGGGCTGAGAGAACTCTGACACAAACTGCTCTTTCAGGAGCAGCTGTGCCAGAGCTTGTGACTGACCCAAGGTCACATCAGCAGGTGCAAGTGGAGGAGTGGGGAATCAAACCCAGTTCTCCCAGATTAGAGTCCGCTCACTTAACCACCACACCAAACTGGCTCTCTTGTGAATGTGCTGCACTACACCAAACTGGCTCTCTTGTGAATGTCCTGCATTGTGCAGAGGGTTGGACTAAGTGACCTTGGAGGTCCCTTCCAACTCTACGATTCTAGAGGGGGGGCACAGAAATGAACGGGGAAGTTCACACTTCCCACCCAGCATGAGTTTGCAACAGGGGAGTTCAGACATCCGGAAATGGGGGGTGGAAGCGCTAACATCTGTAAAGACCGGACTTTCCCCGGTGCCTGAGAACTCCGATTCCAAGGCAGGTCAGAACAGGATGCCAACGACTGGGGAACGGGAGGCAGATGTCGCTCTCGGACCATGCACTTTAAACCCGGAAGGGAACAGCAACGACTTCGATCAAACCACTCGTCTGACCGCAGCCGTAGAGAACCTTTTCTTTCTTTCTTTTTTTAAAAATTAATTGGTACAATTGAACATTTTCCAACTGTGTTTACAAAGTTATAACATGTTGAATAAATCGCACTGCATGTCTCATTACAATGTAAAGCATATAACTGCATTAAATCTTTGTATCATAACTTGGGTACTAGGCGGAAATATGAAACTATTTTAATAATCAGATAGAGGACATTCTAGTAACAGTTCGTAACCGCCTCTATGCAACACTAGACATTTTTCAGAAGAGAAGTTAGAAAAAATCATATGAACAATCAGAAAGGAAAAACGAAAAGAAAAGAAAAGAAAAGAAAAGAAAGAGAAGAATTTTTTAAAGTTTTTATGAGACCTGTTATCAATTAAGATTATATCCATTTATGATATTGGGGCCATTTTAAAATGTTCCTCCTCTTGTCCCCGGCACTTGGGCTTCCTCGGAGTATGTGTAGCTCCGCCTCCCCGAGCAGCCATTTTGTGCTTGGAGCCCCCCCCATCTTGTGTCAGAATTCCAGAGGTGCCCACAAGCTCAAAACGGTTGGAAACTCCTGATCTAAGGCTTCAACGGGAGGCCCGGCTCACCACGGCCGAGCCCCTGAACCTGTTTCCCAAGGCCGAGGCTCAACTCTGTAGCTACGTGTGCTTCTCATAACCAAGAGGGCACTCGTGAGTTCACGCCATGCACCATTCCTTCTTAGGGTTGCCAAGTGTATCTTCGCCGGGAGCGGGGGGCTTCCGGCCAGCGTCTTGTGCTTGTGCGCACGTCACCCGGAAGTGACGGGAGGACGCCAGGCACGCTGGGGGCGGGGCCATGGCCATACAAGGGAAAACCACTTCTGGGTGACGCGCACGTCGGGGTGGAGTTCCCCCCAGGGCCTGGGGGGACTTGGGATCCCTATTCCTTCTCCACAGGCTAAACCAAATAGGATTAGGGAGCATTGCAGGGTAGAGCTCCGACTTCTCTGGAGACTTGAAGAAAATTTAGAATTTCACTGAGACCAGAGGAGAGAATAACAGCCACATGTACGTCATGTTAACGACGAAAGCCACATGTGACGGGAACCACACATGACCCACAGTTCTGAGTAGAAACCCCCTGCAGGCTGTCTCCACCCAGAGAGGGCTGTCTGTGGCAGCGACAGACTTCGGTGGAGGAAAGGTTCCCTCTCCTCGGCTGGAGCTAGGGTTGCCAGCTCGGGGGTGCAAAATTCCTGGAGATTGGGCGGCAAAGAGAGCCAGGTTGGTGTCGCGGTTCAGAGCGCGGACTCTAATCTGGGAGAACCGGATTTGATTCGCCACGCCTCCACTCGCAGCTGCTGGTGTGACCTTGGGTCAGTCACAAGTTCTCTCAGAGCCGTTCTCTCAAGGGCAGCTCTCGAAAGAGCCCTCTCGGCCCCGCCTACCTCACAAGGTGTCTCTTGTGGGGAGGGGAAGGGAAAGGAGTTTGTAAACCGCTCCGGGACTCCTTCGGGTAGTGAAGGGTGATATATAAATCCAACCTCTCCTCTCTCAAAGTCCAAGGACAGCAGAGTTTGGAGGAGCAGAGGGCCCTCATCAGGGTACAACGCCACAGGGTATAATGCCCTCCAAAGCAGCCATTTTCCCCAGTAGGAACCGATTCCTGCAGCTTAAAAAGGAGTTGTATTTCCTGGCAATCTCCTGGATGTTGGTAGCCCTCGCTTTACCGGGTGGCATCCCTTTTTCTACCGGCTGCTCTCTCTCACTCGCCTTCTGCAAATCCCCCACATTCCAGCCACCTGGGTTTTCTTCATGCGGGAATGGAAAGAGAGAGCGCCCACAGTCAAGTTTCTGTTTGCGGAGGAGGACCTGCCCTAAATAGAAGGTGGTCTGTTTCCCCAGCTTGGGGACTCCGGCCTCCAAAACGGAGTGGGTTGTCATCAGGGACTCTTTGGCGCTCCTCTTAACAAGCATGCAGTGTGGAGGCCGCCTGAGAAACGCGCCGTGTGGAAAAAGGTGGATTCCCCGGCCCCTCCCTTAGACGAGAACGGCAGAGGGGTTTTCCCCCCGCTTCCCAACGGCCAGGGACTTCTATCAACCGCCACTCTCCCCTTCCCAGGACTTCAGCAGAGAAGAAAAGAAGAAGAGATTGGATTTATACCCCATGGCCCTTCACTACCCGGAAGGAGTCTCAGAGCGGCTTACAATCGCCTTTCCCTTCCCCTCCCCACAACAGACGCCTCTGTGAGGTAGAGGTGGGGCTGAGAGAGCTCTTTCGAGGACTGCTCCTGAGAGAGCAGCTCTGAGAGAACTTGTGACTGACCCAAGGTCAGGCCAGCAGCTGCGTGTGGAGGAGTGGGGAATCGAACCCGGTTCTCCCAGATTAGAGTCCGTGCTCCTAACCACGACACCAGACTGGCCCCCAGGAATACACAAGTCACCCTTGCCGAAACAGACAACCTTCCATTGAAGACCTGTGGTGTTTTGCAACAGGACTCGGCCGGAGGACCCTGGAGAAAAGGCACAAGGAGAGCTTGGAGCCAGATACACTGCCTCTGTACAGGGAGGTTCTATTCATGGCTAATAACCAACAGAAGTCCTCCGTTAAATTTATCTAATCCTTTCTTTAAAAAAAAACCCAAACATCTAAACTGCTTGATTCGAGCCTGAATTATTCCTAAGAACTAAAATGACTCCACCACGGACGCTACCGCACTTTGGCCACATTAGAATCATAGAGCTGGAAGGGAGCTCCAGGGTCATCTAGTCCAACCCCCTGCACAAGGCAGAAAAGTCACATATACCCCACACCCCCATGCCCAGAAGATGACAAAAACCCTACAGGATGTCCAGCCAAACTTGCCTGGAGAAAAAGTGCTTCCTGACCCCCAACGTGGCGACCAGCATTTCCATGGGTGTGTAAGAAAGGGCCACAAGAACTAAGCCCTGAGGCAACCCTTCCTGCCCTCCCTTCTCGCGATCTGCCTAAGTTCACAGAACCAGCATGGCTGTCAGATGGCCACCTTAACCATCGTGAGAAGGCAAGACTCACTGGGAAAGACAACCATGCTAGGAAGAAGAAGAGATTGGATTTATACCCCGCCCTTCACTACCCAAAGGAGTCTCAGAGCGGCTTCCAAACTCCTTTCCCTTCCCCACCCCACAACAGACACCCTGTGCGGAAGGCGGGGATGAGAGTGCTCTGACACAAACGGCTCTTTTTCAAGGACAGCTCTTATCAGAACTACGGCTTGCCCAAGGTCATCCAGCAGGTGCAAGTGGAGGAGTGGGGAATCAAACCTGGTTCCCCCAGATTAGAGTCCGCACACTTAACCACGTCGCCAAACTACTACACCGAAGAGCAGAAGGCAGCCGGGAAAGAGGGCAACCCAACAGGAGATGGATGGACTTCAGCCATGGCATTCGGGGCGCAAGACACCGAGCAAGGCCGT